TCTTTTGTCATACTAAATACAATATGTTTTATTATAATTACATTCAATATTCAATATAGTAAACAATATGTTCTAGGAATTAAACAAAATTATCATTTCAGAAAAATAAATGTTAAATTATAATTTTATTATGATTAAGGAAAAATGAAGATATTATTTCAATATCCCATAACCACATTCAATACATTAGAAATTAATTGGATATAACTGTAAATGAATCACGATTTAAGGAAAATAAATGTTTGCAATACCATAATAATTAAGGAGAGAGTAAGATATTATTTTAATATCCTAATTCGGAACTTTTAATCTACTACTGAATTAAAAATAAAATGCATTTAATAACATGCAAAAGTTATTAGTTTAATATTTTTTTTCATTGTACTAATTCAATTCAATCAAACTTAATTTTAAAGATAAAATAACAGCTTCATTTTAATTGTTGTCAATATATTTCAAAAAATTATCGCGAAAAGGCTTTTGTTGCACCTTATTTTAATTTTCATATACTATTATTATTTTTTCTGTTATTTTTCAATGATTTATTATTTCGATTTAAAATTTAATGTTTATTCTTAAAACTCTGATGGTACAATTAAGGTGGAGTAGAATATAATAAAATGATGATTCTTCTACTAAATAAGAAGATATAACGAAATTGAAAGGGTGAATTTTTTTTTAAATGGATAGGAAATTCTATTAAGGTATCATTACATCATTATTCAATATATTTTTAATATAAATTTCATTTGCTGTTGTATTTGTTTAGTACTCCATCTGTCCCTAATTACTTGTACACTTTTAAATTTACACATTTATTAAGAAATCAATTAATGACATAGTGAGTTTATCATTTTACCCATATTAATTATGAAGTAGATGAAAAGTTCTGCAATTTTCAAAGTAATTAGTCATTTAATTGAGGGTATAATAGGTAAAAAAATATTCTTTCTTCATTTGTCAAAATGGACAAGTAATTAGAGACAACTATAAAAGGAAAAGTAAACAAGTAATTAGGGACAGAGGGAGTATTACAGTCTTATTTGACATTATGAGATATTTCTTAGACATTTAAGGAGAATGGTAGACCGAAATATATATTATATATTAAAGGATGAACTTCATGCAATGGAAGAATTTGTTATTAGCAAATATATTTTAACTTATTTGATAAAAAATATATTCTTCCTCATTTAATAGATGTAAAATTTGTAATAGATGTAAAATTTGTGAAGGTTTTTTTTTTTCACAATCTTCATATTATTAAACAAATAATAATATTACGATTAAACAACAGAGTAAATATAAAATTAATCAAAAAAATTTAATTTTAATGATCGTGCAAAGTGAAGCCAAGTTCTCTAATTTAAAACCAAAAAGTCAAATTTAAATGGGTCTACTTTAGAATTCGTAGAAATCTAGCTTCAAAAATTATGTTAAAAATGGAAACTAAAAAGTGAAATAAATTTAATTGAGAGTTATCTTTCGTCTGTCCCATTTTATGTGACACTTTTTATTTCTCAAGCATCAAATAGTTTAAGTTTGACCATAAATTTGCGTATGATATCTTCAATTTTTTTAAAATGAAATATATATATTTGTAAACTACGTAAAAATCAAAACATTATAATTCATAATAATTAATAATTCATAATAATTTAAAGATCTATGAAAAATTTAAGATGAAAGATAAACTAAAAAGAGTAAAAGGGGAGAATGGAAAGTAGAAAAAAGAATAGTTCATATTTTTGGTGGGCCTCAATGTACAATTTCTATAGCTTTTAGTCCAACTCTTTAGTGCAATGTTGGTCCTCCAAACTCCCATTTCTAAATAGGCTAGATGGTTCTTGCCCGTGCTAAGCACGGGCCCAACATTTTAAATTATGATATAATTTTATTAATTTAAATCTATCTTAAAAATATGACTGAAATAGCAATAAATATTTCTGAATAATCATAATTTATAAAGCATAGCTTCCTCATTTATTGACGAAACTACTGAGATACACTATCATTCATTTTAAATAATGTTGGTAGGAAACATTGTCAAGCTTGGTAAAAATATAGTGTGAATGGTTATTGTATGTATTACTATGCATTCATACAAAGCCAAGCAAATCATCAATGTAATTTTCCAAATCAATCACAATAAATTAAGTGACAATTTTTTTTTGGCAAAATCAATAGTTGATATTTTTATTGTCTCCTCCATCGAATAAATCAATATCCTCACTAGAAGGAAAAAAACCCACATAAGAACAGAGAAGAGGAACAAATAGAAATGTTGACACGGGTAATATATTAATGAAGAGTTTTATATGGTTGCATTGTTTTTGTTTGTTCAGTAAAAGTGCATTTAATAGTGAGACTCAAAACTGCTATTGCCGACTTTGGTCCCATCATTCCCTTTTCTGGATAATTAAAAATCCCCTCTTTTGCTCTTTCAATCTCTGTTTTCTTTTCGTTCTAAAAAAAAACAATAAAGCTTGTATACTAATGCTCTTATAAGCTTCTTTTTCTCATAAAAGATAATATACACCTCCCTGTTATCTCTTTATAGTACCTTGTGAGGTTACATTTTTATAATTTGGCAGTTGATCTAATGTGAAGAGGGACTTGCATGCAGCCTCAGTGTATTCATTACCTTACCACTTGTTGTTGATCTTTCGATGCGTGTTATAAAGGAATATTCTTTTAATGGAACATCTACTTTAACTTTTAAATCTAGAGATGAGAGAAGATCTAACTTTTTGTTCAATTGCAAGAGAACAATAACAATAACATAAAAGGAATCTGTTTTAATCATTTTCTATCGGATGTAGTATGATTTAGATCAACCACAAAGACAGGAATGGTGTCCCACCTTTCAAGAATCTCTTGATCGGTTACATTTTGCGGAGACTTCTCTCCTTTTGACTGCTCAATAAAAGCTAGCAACATCTGTATACTAACAATCTCATCATCCTTCTATGCCAAAACAATCAATAAACCGGAGAAATAACGTCATTTGCATATCTAAGAAGAAGCTGAAAAGAAATTGTCTCTCATAGCCTATTAAAAAAGTAAGGAAAACGGCAATCCTAAAGAATCTCGTACTGCAACCATGCAATAGGACGGTGTCTTTTTGATAAATACTACACAAGTGATTATACAGATAACATTCCGGAAGAAATTTGCTAATAAGAGCACAATAACGTGTAGTACAAATATATGCTACCAACATTATCAGGTTAAAATCTTGATTACAAAAGAAAATGATTTCTCAGAATTCCTCATTACATGAAATTTATCCACTTAACAATCAGCTACATTAATGGCATCCCCAAAACATCAAGACCATACTTTATTCAGATGTGCATCCGATTTTAAAATTACAAAAGTCTAACATCATCAATTATGACAAAAGTTTCTGCCTCATATACATTTCCTTTTCCTGTGCCCCATCCCTTTAAGTCAAAATTGCACAAAGTGTGTGATAAATGCACATAAATAAAATCTAACGAACCTGTTTAGCCTTACACATAGACTAATAGTTCAAGAAAACCTAAGAAAGTGGTCTAGGGGAAGGATGTTAAGAGCAAGAATTTAATAAATAAATGACATTTCCTATTTGTTCTTTTAACTCTCGATTGTTGCACCTTCTGTCGGTTCTGTTTAGTTATAAGCGAAGTATCAACGACATTAAAAGAGTCAAGCAGATTCCGCAATTGTACAAAGTCTCTATTCTTTGGCTTTGTGTAAGTAAACCGTCCACTTCCCTTAGGGATCTAAGGAGTTAAACAACAAAAAGAATGGCGACAGTTATTGCATAAGTTTTGACTACAAAAGAAAATAATTATAGGATAGATACATAAATAGTGAAATATATCTATTGTTATACATGATATCTTAAGTTAAGAAATTTTCTTTATAATTCAATACCCAATTATTTCTTTAAGAGTGAATGCAGATGACTGTCAAAATTGAGAATTTTCAACATTAAAGATAAATTTTGGAAACGGAAGTTTGAAATTTAGTATAAGTACCAGTAGTGATTTGTTGGAGAAGAGGCAAGCCATTTATCGGCGAGGGAGCAGTAAGGATAGTCAATGGTTAAGAGAAGTTGTTGCATCTATTTCTTTTATCAGAATTTATTCCAATTCCAAGAGCTCGGAGTCGAGAAAAACGGGAAGAAAGCCTAAGCGAGCGAGACAAGAAGGAATGTTGTGAGCCATGTGAGCTCTAAATTACTTGAGAAAATAACAAAGGAAAATACTCTAGGATAAACAGTGTACAACTCATCTGAGAAGAACAATTAGGTTATCAGATGTACCTTAGTCTACAACTTAAATTGCAAGTTCACAAATTAACAAAAGTTATATCAGAATATTAGTTGAAAATTTTGTACACAAACATAGGTGAGTAGATTTGAACAGAAGACCACTTTGAGTTTCATGCATGTACAATTGATTTGTGTATTGAAATTTACCAATTCTTTTGCAGAATAATACCAAATGTATAATAGAGGCATGATAAATAAAGATATCAATCAAGCAGAGAAATTTTAATACCTTAATTTGTTGTTGTTAAAATATTTTATGGGCGTCAAGTTGAGTATTTTTCGTTCAGTGCTCGTTCCCTATCTAAGAGCACATTGATAGAACTGCCCACTGGACTAAAGGATGTAGGAATTGGAGCATATCCAAGAGACCTGCAAGATACCTGATTTCCTTTCATTGACATATTTATCTCAATAGTCAAGAGAATAAAGTGGTGGATGTTGTAGAAATATCAATCCAAACCTAAACTATGATTTTTGTGTGGCAGAACATTCATAAGGCGATAAGGGTCCATGAATATAACCAGTGAAGTGCTAAATTTCTATCACATCAACCGTGCATATCCAATCTGACAGAGAAAGGCCTAACTTGAGCTCTCTGTTACCTTTAATTATTAAAGAACCATCTAGAGAATCTCATTAAACAAATAGATGAATGTGAACAGAGCAACAAAGAAAAACACCTCTGGGAAAAATTAACATGAACAAAACAAAAACACTCAATTTCTATAATTTAGCAGCTTGACATGGACTCATGAAAATGTGTGCCCTTTTTTAAAGCCACAAAAAGGTAAATAGGCGCAAAACTGAAAACAAAAAATGAAATGGCTAAATTTACTTTAACCCCATTCAGATTGCAGAAATATGATATGTATATTTTCTTGAATAGGAATAGCATACATGATATACTGATATGAAGAATCTGAATAACATGAGATGACAAAGAGCAAGCACTTACTCAATGCAGCATCATCATGGTCTTTGAAGGTTTTCTCAAAATCGGTGCAATGTGAATCCTACAAGTGTTTAATCAAGTGCCCATTCAGAGGTGTATCGATTTCAATGGTCAAACCATCTCATTTTCTTTGATATAGCCAAAACATAAATTCCAACAATATTTGAGATAGAAACTGCACACAACCAAAGCACAAAAGATTGAGGAAGAAAATGGAGAAACTGGGCAAAGAGAAAAACAGAAAAATAGAGAGAAAAGGAATGACACCATTGACATATCTGAATGTATTTCTTGAATTTCCTTTTGAATTTTTGAATCAGTCTTGGATTGCCTTGTTTTCATTCTAGATTAGGATCAGTGCTCGTTATGCTGCTCTAAAAATACTTATCTATTTCATACCTCTTCTCCATGTATGCATGCAAACATGTGTCAATGAGTACAAAGTTGTAATCCTTAGTAATATTATGTAAATAGCTTGAGTGATTGCAGAGAACAAGTTAATTAATTTGATGGTGGCCATTTATTTTTCATTGGTAATTTCATCAAACACATTGGTTGCATCAAGATTCAAGGCAATTTCCTTGTTACCATTTCTTTTTATTTCGGTACGTTAGCAGTTAGGGTACTGACAGAGAATTTTGAAAGAGACATACATCTTATATTAACAAATTAAATAAGTAAAGTAGTGATCGTCTGATTGAGTTGGGGAAAAAAATGAAGGAAAAGGAAAAATAACTATCAAAATCAAATATCCTCAAGGAAGTTCTTCTCTTAACCCAAAATTTCAATTTTAGTTTTTTCTTTAACACAGTGTCTTTGTAGACAGAGAATTGCCACCATAGTACATCACACACTGAGGAAATTCGAGAAGAAGATAGGGAAAAAGAAGAAGACATGAATAAAACTATACCTTAAATGGTAAGAAATTATTGAAAGTTTTGAAAATCTTCTGATCTAGATCATCCGTGCAGAGGTAAATTGAGCTCCTTGGGGAGGAAGATCAATCAACACTTAACGTCTTAGGAACTGAGATCAAATAGTCGATTTAACCTTCAAATAATTGAATAATGTGAGAACATAACTTTCATTACTTCTCTATACATCCACCTGTTATAGTGTTCTTTTTTAAGGCTCCTTATGTAGTCTGGTAGAAAGTGTGTCAGATCTGATTAGACCCAATATCCCTCAAACAATCATAGCATTTAAACTAAACAAATAAGAAAATGTAAAAATCATTCCACATTAGCAAAATTGGGATTTACCATGAAACATGTCACAGTAATGAGAGCTCAATGAATACAGTGTTGTAGTCCAGTATGATATATCTTCATAACAAATAGCTTTTATCTCTTGAGATACATTCTCTTCGTGATAAACATGTCTTTTTTGTTTACCAATGAATCCTATCAAACTGTTCAAGGAAATAAAAGCAAAAAAAAACCAATCAGACAATAGCACAAAATTAATCCACAAAAGTTTTGAGCTCTCTACCTTAGTAATCTCCAAATCTATGAAAATCAGCACATGTCAAAACATACATGTTTCAAACTAAATTATCAAATGGGAATAAAATATACACCAACAACCTCATCAATTCTCGTGTACAACTTCAAAAGTTCACTAAAAATAGTGATGAGTGTTAATGTGAAAATTAAGAAATAACAGTAAAAGAAAATAAGCAACAAAAGCTCAACACAGATAAACCCAACAACAAAGAGAGCAAAAACTTGTAAATGTCACCACAACTATATAACTTTCTTAATAAAGAAGATATTAAAAGAACGAATAAAAATTATCTTACCTTCTACTCTTTCTTCTGCTTGTGTCTTCACTCATCTCCAAGAGAACGGGAGAAGTCCTGGGGCCTTAATTGATTGAGTATTGTGACCGAAAGTTTTGTTCACCTCATCTTCATTTACTTTTGATTGTATTGTTTGTAATAAAAAAATAAAAACTTTAAGAGGTAGGTCATCTCTGTCATATCCTTCAGCTAGAACTATAAGCAATCACCCTTGATAGGAAGAGCGAAGCAACCAAAAGAAAATTACATATGTTCCTGCAATGCTAGCATTTAAGCTTAGTAAAAAGCAAGCAATTAAAATTTAATTAATTGGCTGATCCCAAAATGAATTGAAAGTTGAAATTTAAAACATAAAACCTTGAACTGATATGGCCATTTAGATATCAAAAAGCATCTACGTGGAAAATATTAATATGTAAATGAACTGCTTATTCCGATACATCATGAACTAAATATAAAAAAACTGTAGATACAAGATTACTCGAACCACAAAAGTTTAAGAAACAAAATTTTAAAAGCTTGATATTGTTATCGCTTGCATAAAACACTTTTCTTCTCACATATTCCTTTTCATTAATTATTGGGATGTATATTATTGGGATGTATCACAATTTATATAACTCTCCTAGAAAGCATTTCATGTTTTGACTGCCAAAAATTGGTCATTTTGTATTACAGTTAACTAAATGGATGTGAAAAATTTAATGGATCGTCTTTTAGGAGGAAATATACCAAAAATCAGATCAAGCCAATTAATCTGAAAGTTCACAACGTGATAGATAAGCTTAACCTTCGTTAATAAAAAGTGGATACTCTTACCGTTATACAAACGGCTCACATATACCCCTACCGTTACAAAATGAGCTCACATATACCCTTAATTTAACGGAAGTGAAAAAAATAGTTTTAAATTTATATTTTTGACTTTTAAATTAAAAAAAATCATGTAGGGATATATATGATCCTTGTAGCAAATTTCAAGGTATATTTTAATCTTTTTTATACATAAATTATTTTTTGAAGTCTTTGATTATCATCTAATTTTACATCCATTAGCATGTACCTCTCTCTTTACCAATTCCGAAAAGTAAATTTGATGAGCGTTGTGAAGTCACAAAGTGGACACCATGTGAATACTCTCATTTTCATACTCGCGGAGACAAAGTGAAATGGTTCAAGTTGCACCTGTTTTCAGTACAAAAAAGAATTAGAAAGAAGAAAAGATTTCAACGACATAAGAAAATAATCCATTGAGAATAGCAAAGGAGTGTCGCCTATCTCCATAGTACCAGAAAGCGAAAAATTAAGAGCACATTGATAGAACTGCCCACTGGACTAAAGGATGTAGGAATTGGAGCATATCCAAGAGACCTGCAAGATACCTGATTTCCTTTCATTGACATATTTCTGTCAATAGTCAAGAGAATAAAGTAGTGGATGTTGTAGAAATATCACTCCAAACCTAAACTATGATTTTTGTGCGGCAGAACATTAATAAGGCGATAAGGGTACATGAATATAACCAGTGAAGTGCTAAATTTCTATCATATCAACTGTGCATATCCAATCTGACAGAGAAAGGCCTCTTACAAAGGCAATATTATGTTTACCATTGCATCAAGTGGCATATAAGAGTTGTTAAGAAAATGAAATCTAGAATGTTACAGTTATTCTACCATAATGGCTAAGAGTAAGAGATCTTTTAGCATAGTTGTTATGATAGGCACTGCTGTTTGATCAAAACCAAAAAGTGCATAGATCAAATTTTTCTTTGAAGACCTAAAGGCGTAAATGTATAATCCTCAATTGTATTTTCTTTAGAGAAATAAAGTGTTTGCTAAAATTAGAAGTTAAATGAGGAAAGATCAAAAGTGAAGCATCAATTTCAATTTTCAGTCAATTAGCAGTTGCTTTTGAAAAATTTGTTTATACATATTCTTCTTTAGGCTTGAGTTTAAGGCATACATTTGAAATATATATTTTTAACACAAATATAAACGATAGAAGTGAGGTTGCCTGATGACAACATACATTTTGAGTTGTTGACTGATGGAGCAAAATATTTTGAACAACCTGCTGCAAAAGAAAGACAACAAATTTTTGTTAGGGATTTCCACGTATATGATCAAACATGTTGGATGGGTATACTGCGGAACCACTAAAAGTTATTTATACAAATTATATGTATGAAAAGTCGTAGTCCAATTTTAGTGGAGAGATTACAAAGCATATGTACCAAAAGTGTAGTTCAATTTTAATGGAGAGAATAACAACGTCTTGAAATATCCGATCTTTCATAATTTGAGGATTTGAGCTTTAAATTTATACAGGATTCATTGTCAACGAAGGTCCAGTTGCACAGGAAAGCAAATTAAAATACAATGTAGTTAGGAGAAAATAAAGTGAAAGAGGAGAATAGAAAGCAATGAATTCTAAAGCACAATGAAATGAAGAAAGTAATAGCTGAAAATTGGAGAACTGAATTAGGAAAATAAACTGAAAATTCGAAAGGGAAGTGCAGCATAAGAGCTAAATATAAAGGGAATAATTTAGTGAATGTGTAAAAAGGTCTGCTAAATTCTATGTGGGTAGTTGGACTCAAATGTTTGTCCCCAAGTTCAACTATTTCCTCTTCTTCGCCTTTTAACCCCAAAATAGGTAGAAGCACCAAAACCAAGACTATTGAAAAACAAAACTTTTAGATGCACTATGTGCATCAAGGATCCAAAGTCATCTACTACCTATTTATTTCTATTTGCGAACATGCATGAACAAATTAGATACAATTGTTGAATTGACATAAGAAGGGAGCTGATCAATTTCTCTTTAATTGCATTTCCAAGCTTTGAATCAGCAACTACCAAAGTTTCCCCATCACAGTGTGCTTTCAAGAACTTGCGCAGTCCTTTGTTGGGGTTGCTATTTATCAACAACATAGCTTCTGACAGAGCTTCTGAGGTGTTCTCAACGTCAAACTTGGAGAAAGATTTTAGCTTCAGAACCTGTTTTTGTACCAACCAGTCAAGTAAATAAATGAAGAACGTAAACATAAAGTTGAAAACTATAGAGAGTTGATATCCTCACCATCAACTAAGCACAATATATGTCCAAATTTTCAAACATGCTACACCAAGATTTCTACTTCTATATTACGACGATTTACTCATCAAATGATTTTCCCAAAAAAATTACCTTTCTGGCGGAATCAGTTGAGAAAAATCAGGGGAAAGGGGAAAGAAAATCTTACCACAACTAAAGAACACAACAACAGTGAAAACAAAGTTGAAGGCGAAACAGAGATTCAAATCTATAATCAGAATCCGGGAAAGAGCAAAGTGAAAATAGATTTGGAGCATATTGTAGATTCTACTGTGTAAAGAATGAAGACAAAGAAAGTGGATATACATAACAGAGGAAAAGGTTATTTACAGATTTACCCAAAATTAACATTAGAATTACCTTTTTGCCCTTGTTCGTCCCTCTCAACTTTCACTTGTATATAAGGGTAATAAAATAATTTAATAAATAAATATAAAGATAATAAAGAAGATAAAGATTGGGATAAAGAAGATAAAGATTGGCTGGCTAAGTCAAGACACGTGTGACCAAATAGAGTACAGATGTCTCTATTACAATGAATTGACCAAAAGTAATCTTGACAATACCAAAAATGTCCTTATTTGTCTCATCACATTTTCAGCACAAGGTACAATTATTTTAAGCTATGTTAGTTCCTTTAGAAGTGGCACTTCTAAATAAGCACAAGGTACAATTATTTGAAGCTATGTTAGTCCTTTAAAAGTGCCACTTCTAAATAAGGGTAATAATATATCATATATATATATATATATATATATATAAAAAAATATATCCTAGGTGTGAATTATGGTAGAATTCATAAAATAGCAAATTACGAAAAATGAGATAATTAGATACTAAATTAGTGAAATTTGTGTTGTTTGCTTATATAATAATGTAATGGTTTACAATAAGCTTAATACATGGTTTACTATAAGCTTATATAATAATGCAACTGTGATTTGATTCTTTTTCCAATCTTGTAATTTATGAATAATATTTTTTCTTCTTCTCTCATGTGTATCAGGTCTTAATCTTTTGATCAATGATCAAAACAACTCAATCTGCATCTCAGCTAACTTTCTATACAATGTATCACATTTTGTTATTATGTAAAATAAGTGTACATAACTATCTTGTAAAACTTAGTTCCTTAAAATATCAACAAACGATTAATATGCAAGGTTATCTTATGCTACATACTTGTAATCCAACTTTTAATTGATATCAAGTTATGATATTTATTATCGAAATCATTTCCTCATTTCAAAAGAAAAAAAAAACTTATTTTCTACAGGAAGTATGTTGCAAAAATTTTAGCTCATCAAATATAGAAAATTAACATTTTACAGAACACACCGATAGATTCATCAATTTTTTTTCTCCAATTTCATGTAAAAACAAATTTAACAAAAAAAAAAGAAATATTACATAATAATATTGGGCCCGTGCTGGCACGGGCCATTACTTTCTAGTAAAAATAAGAAGTATGATAAAATAAATTATATTTTGGTGTATAAATCTGTGATTGGACTAAAAGTCTCCTAGAAATCGTTGGACATGTCACATAAGTAAATGAATTGTCTTTAAGTTCTCAAATAATGTGTATCATTTATATAGATTTTTTCCCTTCCATTGTGCCTTACTTTAACTAGGTCTGTAGGTCTTTCAATACAACTTTCTTATGATTTTAGGACTTCCATGTGTCCTTATAACATCTCCTGGCGGAGTCAGAAATTTGAACCTGCTCTTCTTAAAAGTGAAAACGAAGGGTGTCTAAGTGCTAAAGTGAACCTGCTCTTCTTAAAAAGGGTGTCCAAGTGCTAAAGTGAACCTGTTTTTCTTAAAAAGTGAATTTTTTTTGCTAATAGTGAGATTCGAACACTTTAAGTTTGTATATCTATACGCTTTCAAGGCGCCTCAAACCACTAGGCTACATCATATTGTTGTGTCAAGGGTGTCCAAAATATTTTATTTAGCCACTTTATTTATCATTTTACTTGTATATATGGTATAATTTTTCGACTAAGGGTGTCCAATATATAAGGGTGGCTACGCCACTGCCATTCACTATGGATTCATACGACTAACACTTAATATTAGGAATAACACACAAATAGGACCCTTAACTTGGCTTCAAATTTTAACTTTGACCTAAAACTTTCAAAGTACACAAAGAGGCACTTTAACTATCCAACTCTTAAATAAAAAAACACTCGAATATTGCAGCCCAACATGGATTAGTGAGCCACTCAATGGCTGCCAACTAATTAAATAATTTACACATAGATATTAGAATTAATTAATACAAGGGTATAGGGTGAAAGACTTCCATTTTACCTTGCTTCTCTCTCAAAATCGTGAAACCCTAGCTGGGGAGTTAAAACCAAAATCGTGAATTAAGGGGAAAATCATTCAATATTTGGGCTAAAAGTTCATATACTCTTATGTGTATCTCTTCTCTTTCTCAGGTAAGTTTAATTAGCACTTTTGAAAGTTTATTTTTGATATAGAAGGTAGAATGTTTTCTAAAATATGGATTGTTTGCTGACCAACGACCTAGATTGTTTGTAGACCAAGATATCTTCATTATAGCTTTTCTTTCATAATGACAAAAAAATTAGAAGCCATTTACACTAAAAATGAGCAGAAATCTTGTTAAAGAGGAAAAACAACGCTTGATTTGAAAGAAGAGGGAAAATGGGATTTTGATTAGAAAATATAAAGATATATATATATAAATAAAAGGTGTGGGGGGGGGGGGGGTTAATTAAGAGTATA